GTGCTCTTAGGGTTGTTGCCCTGCTCCTCGTGGTTGATGTTGAGCTTGGCCACAGCGTCGGCGCGCTGCTTCACGGTCATGCTCTCGGCAAGGATCTTGCCCGCAACGCGACGGATCTCGTGCTGGATGATCTTGCGGGCGTCAGCGCTGGCGAGGGGCTTGAGCTCGCCCTTCTTGTTGGTCCTGGCCTGCTCAACGGCGGCCGCGAGATTCTTATCCGATTCAGCGAGCTGGACGAGCGAGCGGGCGGGGATCTTGCGGAGAAGCTCTTCGAGAGTGACGTTGCTCATGTTGTGTGTGAGGGAAGGGGTGAGGTGGGTGTGCGACTGAGTGGTGGTCGATGAAAAGCGGGACAACTCCCACTCCGCGTTTTATGCTCCTTGGCCTGCTTCGCGCCAAAACCGTTTCGCGCCAAAATTCTTGGCGCCAAGACCACCCCAGGCCGGGTTCAGTTCACAAGAGCCGTTGTGGTGCTCGGGTAGCCGTTACGTTCGTTTCGTCTTGAGCTCACGAATTTTCCATTCTCTTTTTCGCCTGTTTGGCCCTCAGCACCACACCTTCTTCCCTCGCTCCCCTCCGGTCAGAAGAGTTGTTTCCACGCTGGCACGCTCACTTGCTGCGGCTGCGGCTCCTGCTCCTCGAGGTGCTCCTGGGGGTGCGGCTCCTGCTCCTGGACGAAGAGCTTCGGCTGCGGCTGCGGCTTCTCGAAGAGGAAGGGCTCCTGCTGCGGCTCCTGGACGAAGAGCTCCTGGACGAGCTCCGCCTCCTCCTGCCTCGGCCGCGGCTACGGCTGCGGCTTGAGCTGTATGGAGACGAAGGGGAAAGCACGATGGTCAATACGAGGTATGATGGGGATGTGTGGGTGGCAAGACTGGAGTACCTTCTGCTGCTGCTCCTTCTCCTCCTCTTCTCGCGCTCTTCGCGCTCCTTCTGAAGACGCTCCTTCTCCAGGCGCTCTCTTTCCTCCTTCTCCTTCTGCCTTTGCGCGACCTCTTCGTCGCTGAGTGGCATGTAGTAGATGGGCGGCTTGGCGTTGGTCTTCTTGAAGAGATCGTCCAGCGTAGGGCCACGAGGCTCCGCTGCTGAGGAAAAGCACCAACGACGGCACGCGAGGTCAGTGTCGGCTCGACGCATGAACATGCAGTCTCGATGAGGGTGTGACACGACACATACCTGGCGCGGCCTTCTCCCTCCGCTGTGGCTGCTCGGCTCCTCGACTATTTGGTTGGCAGGACACCGGGCTGGGTGAGCAATTCGCAGAGAGAACAACACATGGGGGGGGGGGAAGGGCAGGGCAGCACGCACCGTTCCCTCTCGCGGCCTCTCTCCGGGACCCTGTCCTCGGCCACGGCCTTGGGCGGGGCCTTCTCCTCGAGCTCTTTGGGCGACGCGAACTCGGCCGTGAGGGGCTTGGAGGTGTTGCCCGGCGGCCAAATCAATCCGTAGATCGCATTCCGCGTAGCGGTGGCCTGCTCCGCGCTCTCATACTGGAGAAAGTCACCTCTGGCGTTAGCATTGACGGGGACAAGAGACAAAAGATATCGAAGAGTGGTGGGGCGCGTACCGAGACATAGCAATGCGTTTTGATGTCGTTCATCCAGAAGTTTGTGACGGTGCCTGTCTCTGCGAGAAGATCTTTTACGGCCTTCAAGGTGAAAGGACGCACAAAATTGCGTACCAGCAGCGTGTTGGTCGGCTCGCTGGCAGGAGGAGGCACAGCTGTAGATACACACAACAAGGAAACACGAACAGGCCAAATTGTGGCGGTCAACCACGGCCATGAGACACGCATACAACACACCAAGCCCGCAAGGTGGAAAGTGAGAGTACAATTTATGGCCTTGGTCCGGGGCTCGTCTTCGGCGAGGTCTGGCTGCGAGGCACGACGCGGCACGGCGGCAGCAATCCTGCGAGAGTCCTCCTTGGCAGGCTCAGACCTCTCGGGCTCGCGCTGTCTCTCGCGCTCTCGCACCCTCTCCCCGTCGTGGCCACTCTCGCGCTCCTTCTCTTGGTGCCTGCATGGGATATGAACATGATGTGGTTAGTTGACGATCCAACTGCGGTGCGTATCGTGTCGTGTCGTTGTGTGTGTGGCCGGTGTACCTCTCCGAGTTGTCATTGCCAGCGGCAGACGCGTCCTTGTCGCGCGGCTCGCGCGTGGGGAGAGCGTTGCCGAAGAGGCGCCTGCCACGCTGCTGAGCCTCGGCCCCGTCGTCGCGCTTTTGCCTCTTGACCGCTGATCCCTCGCCGTTGGTGGACTGCTTCGCGTCCTCCCCTTCAGCAGCCGTCGCCTCCTCGCGGGCCGGCTCCTCACTCCTGCTCTCCTCCTCCGCCTCCTTCGCCGCGTCGGACGCAAGCTCCTCCACTTTGCGCTTCCTCTGCTCCCTCTCCTCTTCCATACCTTCTGCCTGGGGAGCTTCGTTCGTCTGGGGCTTGGCCTCCTCGCTCTGCTCTGTTGTCTCCACCTCTTCCTCTTCCATCTTGCTCTCCTCCTTGGCCGGCGCCGGCTCCGTCTTGGCCACCTCTTCTTCCCCAGTCTGGTCAGGGGTGGTGCTCTGCTCCTCGCTGTTCTGCGCCTCCTCTTCCATCTTCGAGGCCGGTTCCTCTTCACTCTGGTCAGCTGCAGTAGTGGTGTCTGCCGCTTCGCCTTCAGCAGCTTCGCCTTCGCCGCCATCTACCTCCCCCTCCTTGGGCTCTTCTTCCTTTGGCTGGTCTTGGTCCATCAGAGCAACCAGGCGCGCGTAGAGATCTGCCTTGCGTCCCGCCGTGCTGGCGTTACGCTGCTTGAGTTCGGCCTGGAGGTCTTTTACGAGCATGTCCTCCACCTTCTTTCCATTCACGCTGTGTCCTGACATGGGGGGAAAAAAAATCGAGTTCTAGAGAGGTCGATTTCGTCGATTTCACACTGCGATGTCTCTAATTTTGTTTCGTTTACGTAACGCGGCGCTGGTGAGAGATCCAAACTGCTGCCGTACACACCACACCCACGAGCCAGAGAGATGTGATCGAATGGCAGAATCAAGCGAAAAGAAAGAGCAGAGAAAAATACGGATATTTGTGCATATTCTGCATACCTGCCAAAAAGAAAGTAAAGTAAAATAACAAGCGAAAACAAACACAAACGATCGCGATGGAAGCGCAAGAGCAAGAGAAGCAGCTCGCAGAGTCGGCAGCAGTTGCGCTTGAGGGCGAGAAGGTAAAGAAGGCGCGGCGAAGAAAGAAGAAAGGTGCTGCCAATTCCACTCCGGAAGGCCAAAATGCGAAGCAATCGTACCAGCCCTCTCAAAGCCCCCGCTCACTCGGAATTGCCACCATTCTCTAGCTGACATCGAAGATTTGCAAAATGGTAACGTGTGTACTTTTTAATCACAGAGAGCGATCTTCACCCAGTAATGCTCCGCCTGCAGAAGTGAACGGTATTCGTTACGACACGTACCAAGACGAGTCCCAGATGCAGGCTATCATGGAGCTCTTTGCCAAGGACCTCTCTGAACCCTACTCCATCTACACCTACCGCTACTTTATCAACAACTGGCCGCGACTCTGCGTCCTGGTACCCAGGCCTGTCTGCACATCGATGCTCGTGCGCGCGCGCTGCTCGTGTCCTCGTTGGTCTGGCACTGATATCGTGTGCGGCAGGCATTCGACGCCAGCTCCAACCGAATGGTGGGCAGCATCGTGTGCAAGTTGGACAACCACAGGGGAAGCTACCGAGGGTACATTGCCATGCTTGCCGTGGAGGACGGCTACCGAAAGAAGGGCATCGGTGCACACTCCCTTCTTCCTTCGTCTCAGTTGTTCTCGCCAAGTTCGAAGCGCTGATCGAGCGCGTGATCGATTCGCCGACCAGGTTCGCAACTGGTGACGAGAGCCATCAACACAATGAAGGAGGACGGCTGCGACGAGGTCGTGCTGGAAACCGAGGTCACGAACAAGGGCTCGCTCGCCCTCTACGAGAGGCTCGGCTTCATCAAGGACAAGCGACTCTGCCGGTACTACCTCAACGGCGTCGACGCCTTCAGGTACCACTCGCGTCCGAATCGCCTAATTCATTTTCTTTCTCTCGTGTGCACCGAACTGACCCAACCCTCCATCCTTTCAACTCCACACTCACATAAAAACAGACTGAAGATCTTCTTCTTGAAGGATCCTGTCCAGCCCTCTGAGTAGCCACCACACACCTTCACATGGTCAGGTCTTTCATCACCATCGATAAGCAGAACAACTGCTGTTGCAACCCAGACCTTTTGCTCAATTTCATTTTGTGTCGACACATAATCAAGAACGAAGGTGGGGGCGCGCGGTGTGACCACCATTAGCTGGAGCAGAGCTTGAGAAGTGGGGCGAGCTTGGAAGAGAGGGAGAGACTTAGAGAGAGTTGGAGAGGGGAATGGAGCAGCGACAGTGGACGCCGGCGATATCGGCGGATGCGGCGAGCCCGCACAGAGCCAATCGCAGCATATCGTCCTACCGTCAACGTCCCATCGCCTGGGCGGACATCGAGGCGGCTGCCGAGGCGGGGGGCTACGCCATACGCACGCCCTCCAGGAGCTCTGCCCTCGCCACGAGCTCATCGGGATCTAACAATTCCATTGATGAAGATCTCACGAGCCAGAAGAATGAAGGCGAAGCCCAAAACAAATCTGATCGCGAAGAGGAAGCAGAAGAAGAAAAGGAAACGAAAGGAAACGCTACCGAGGTCGAGGCGAGGGGCGAAGGGGGCGAAGACGCCTCCTCGTCTTCAAAATCGATCGAGCCCCTCACCCTCGATTCTCTCTCCATCGCGGCGACAGATGAAGAGGGGGCTCCATCCAATGGATCATCCATCAAGGTGAAGAAGAACAGCAGGAGGGAGAAGAAGCCGAGCAAGAAGGACAAGAAGAAGGCGCGGCCGGGTCCGTTCTCGCCACCCGCCAGCCCATCCTCATCATCCGACCTCGTGCCCACCTCCTCATCATCAGGCAAGAAGGACAAGAAGTCGAAGGAGAAGAGGGACAGAGAAAGAGAAAAGGAGAAGCAGGAGAAGGAGCGAAAGGAGCTGATGGTGCGGGTGAGCGTGCCGGAGCGGCGCATGGTGCGGATGGTGGTGTTCCCGGTCGACACCACCGTGCAGGGCGCGCTCGAGCAGCTCTTCATGCGCAACCCGCTGGCCGACGACCCTGGCCTGTACGGCCTGGCGCTCGCCGTCGACCCCTCCTTCGGCAACCCGTTCGCCTCCACATACGCTTCGTCGTCGGCGTCGTCGTCCGTCTACCTCTCCACCTCGCCGCTGACCGACGCCTCGCTCGCGTCAGCTGCTGCGCCCTACACGCCGCCCGCGCGCTGGCTCGACAGTCAGCAGCTCCTCTCCTCCTACACCATACGCCCTGTACGAATCTTGTGTGTCGTGCCGTGTCGTGCCGTGCCGTGCCGTGCCGTGCCGTGCCGTGTCGTGTCGTGTCGTGTCGTGTCGTGTCGTTTAGTCGTGTCGTGTCGTGTCGTTGGTCGTGTCGTGTCGCTGACGAAGCTCGAGTGCGTAGGACCAAGTGGTCGAGTTGAAGAAGAAGCCACCGCCGCTGGTGGTGACGATGGAGGACCGCACCAAGCGATCCATCCTGGTCGATCCCACCGCGCTCGGCGGTGACCTGGCCGAGGTGATCGTGGAGGGCACCACCGAAGATCACAACAAGCGGTACCACCGCATAGCCATCCACCCTGCCGTCCACCACCACTTGCTGCCGCGGCTCACGCCACCTCCGCTCTATTCCTCGTTCTGTCGGCCCCAGGGTGCAGGAACTGTTCGATTTCGACCTCTACTGCGTGGTCAGAGGCTCCGCAGGAGCAGGGAAGGGCCTCGGGGCTCCGCTCTCCTCGTCTCCGCTGTCGCCCAGCATGTCGGACAGCTTCTGGATCGACAGGCAAGCAGCCCTGCAATGGCCCAGCAGCGCAGTTGGCCCGCGCTGTTGCTAACATGCGCACCACCGCACACGCACACGCACGCACGCACACGCACACGCACACGCTAAAATATGACCAGGGAGAAGCAGATCGCGGCGTATGGACTGCACTCGATGCAGCCTGATCGCTATCTGCTGCAGTGGAAGAAGCGACCTCACATCATCAAGGTTCAGCCGCACTCCAAGACCGCACAGGCGGGCGTCGCCGCCAAGTTCACCCTCAAATACTATTACGATACCACAGTCAAGGTACCTCTTCGCTGCACATGTATCGTGTGCGTGTGCGTGTGCGTGTGCGTGTGCGTGTGCGTGTGCGTGTGCGTGAGTGCGATCGTGTCGTGGATAAGTCTCTAATCCGATTGGTTTCCGCTATATGTAGGAAGCGGTGAAGTATTGGTGGGCAAGTATTTGGGTGCCGAGGAGAACCCCGAGGAGTATTCGCTCCAGGAGACCACAGCTCAGAGCCTGCGCCGTCGACGGCGCAGAGACCCGTCTGACTCGTCGTCGTTTGGCAGCGGTGACACCATTGCAGGCGGTGAGGGTGGTGGCCACCGGGCCGATGCCTCGTCCGGCCTCATGTCGTCGAGCAGCGGGGTCGTCACGGGTCTGGGCTCCAGCTCATCGACCGTGAAGGAGAAGATCCAACTCTTCAACAGTGGCGCCGGGCCGACGCCGACGACAGCAGCGACGGCGACGGCCACCAGCGGCTCATCGCCCAGTTCTGCGACAGCGGCGCTGTCGGGCAGCTCGGGCAACGTGACCCTGGGCCGCTTGGGGTCGACCTATGCGCGGACGAGCAGTACCATGGCCCTCCCGACCAGCCGGAGCCACGGCAGCCTCCCGACTGCACCCGACGCCGAATCCGAAGACGGCTTCTGGCTCGACGGCGACGACACCCTCTCCCAATACGACCTGGCGCCCACCGTACTCTATTCTCTCCCTCTCAACACTCGACGATTGCTGACGTCAGCACCCACACGAAAACTGTGAACTATCTATTGTGGCGGCATAGGATACGCTGCACCTGCGGATCAATCCGCACAAGGTGGTGCAGGAGCCGGAGAATCACGTCAACGTCTCGTTTGCCGAGGCGCCCGACGTGTTCCCCGTACTCGCGGCCCTGTTCCAACGCGAGGAGGCGCGCCGAGTCGCCGCCGGCGAGGACCAGCAGCAGGTCCACGGCGAAAGCGCGGCGGCGACGGCGCGATCTCACTTCGTGCGACAGTTTCAGATCGACTTCAGCACCACCGTGGAGGACCTCACCGCCGCCATCATTCATTTTCTACGCGACAATGCAGGGGTACTGAACAACACACGCACGACCGCACACGCACGGCGCACACAAACCGCGGAAGAGGACTCAGTGTCGCTGGTGTTGGGTGCAGGAGCGGGCAGAGGTGTCGCTGGAGGGCTACGGGCTCTTTCTGCTGCGGGCAGATGCGCTGGAGAAGGACCAGGCCACGCTCCTCGAGCCATCTTCGCTCATCCTCCCGCTGGGCCTCTCACTCGAGGTATTGCTCTTCTTCATCATCGTCGTCGTCGTCTTCTTCTCCTCCTCCTCCCAGGGGAATGGGGGCGGTACTCATATCTCTGATCCCAACCACATTGCTAGGATTCGCTCCAGTTTCGACCGCGCGAGGAAGCAGCGGCGGCCGCCCAGGCCATCGATTCTTTCTTTTACTCGAGTACCGATCTCTTTTCTTTCTTTCTTCGCTTTTCGCTCTTCCCCATGAGCTGTACTTAGCGGCTGCATGGCCGTCGCACATTCAGGGGCTGGCGGTGTGAGCTGTCGCGTGGCGGTACCGACCGTGGGCGTGCAGGTGACTGCCAACATCGGACCCGACGATCTGGTCCTGGAAGTTAAGCAGCGACTGGACCTCGGTCTTGCCCTTCCGGCCTCCCAGGTAACAGTCTAGCCCCAGTCGCCGAGACCTTAGTCTCTCCCCACCATTTCCCTCTTCTGACCACCCGGATCTTCGCGCAGACCCAGGGCTGGTTCTTGTATCTGTGCGATCCCTACAACGGACAGCGCACGCAGCTCCAGGACGGTTTGGCCGCTTTGTCGTACCCTCTCCATTCCGGGTACGAACTAAACACGACACGCAACACGCAACACGCAACACGCAACACGCAACACGCAACACGCAACACGCAACACGCAACACGCACAAGCTGAGCGCGTTCTGGGGCGAATACGTGCTGGCTAGGTCGGTGATCGAGTACGGACCGCGAAGGGAAGTGAAGGCCGGTGCGTCGACAGATTCGGCGGCGCGGCTCACTGCTTCGCGCGGCCGAGGGAAGGCCGCCACGCAACACATTCGCGTGCGCCTGGCCACGCGCGCGGGCGACGATGACCCAAGCGGCTCCTCCGTAGCAGGCGATGGTTGGCGCGTTCCGTTCCACCCACTGAGCTCGACCGTTGACAACCTCATGGAGGTGCGTGTGCTCTTGGAGTCATCGATACACGCATCAATCTCTCACACGACACACACGCGCACGATCATGCAGGACGTGGCCCAGCTGGGGAGCGATCCGTCGCTGTACAGCGGCTGGCGCAATTTTGTGGGTGCGGCCAGTGAGGGCGAGGAGAGCGAAGCGGGTGCGGGTGCGCGGGGTCTCTACATGGAGGCCAAGGACGAGGAGGGCGGCGTCTGGCTGCTCGATCCGTTGGCCCTCGTCGCCAGCTACGGCGTCGAAGACGAGGTGCGCGCCGATCTCTCCCATCACCCAGAATGCCAACATTCTTTTACTGAGTAGCGTGTGTCGTGTGCGCGCACCCACCTGCTCGGCTAGGACGTGCTGGTGTTGAAGCCGATCGGAGGTGTGGCTGGTCGGGAATCCGCCCTGCCCAACACCGTCATCATCCGAGTCAACATGTGCGTTCGTTACTGTGGAGCGCTCGCTCTTGGCCCGTGTTTGCTTGTACTTCGACTTACCTCGTGTGTGTGTGTGTGTGTGTGTGTGTGTGTGTGTGTGTGTGTGTGTGTGTGTGTGTGTGTGGTGTGTGTCGCAGACCGGATCGGCATGAGGTGGTGAACTTGGAGGCACGACGGCTCCCCGAACGCAAGACGTTCACCTTTGCCTACTCGGCGTCGACCCTGGTCGAGGAGGCCCTCTCCTTCGCATTTCAACACCTTCGGCACGAGCATGCCAAAGAAGCCCCGGAGCCCCTCGTACGCGCAACTGTACCGTGTGTGTGTGTGTGTGTGTGTGTGTGTGTGTGTGTGTGTGTGTGTGTGTGTGTGTGTTGTGTGTGTGTTGTGTGTTCCTGTGCTCATTTTTATCGAAACAGGCTGGTGCCACTGGCAGCGGCGCGGTGGCCGGACTCAACAAGCCCCGTCCTTCGCTCGAAGTGTCGGGCGCGGAACAGTATCAGCGGGTCGAGGAGCAGGCCCGGTGGTGGGAGCAGCAATGGCTCGCGCTCGAGACCGGCGACGACTCAGCGCTCGGCCGGCGCTTCGGCCTCTTCGCCGGCGGCGCGGGCGGTTCGTTCGTCAACATGGCCTCGCCTGCCGGCACGGCCTCGCTCTCGGCTACCCTCACCCGCCCTCACTTCGGCGGCAACACCGCCACCTGGCTCTCGCCTCTCCGCACCCTCGCCTCCTACGACCTCACTCACCGAGTACCACCTCCCGTGTGTCGTGTGTGTCGTGTGCGACCACGAACTGTGTGCTAATTTCTAATGCGATGCACGCGTGGCGCAGAGCGTGATCGAATTTCAAATCCGACCAATCCGGATTCGGGTGAGCTATAAGAACGGGCAGTGCCTCAGCGTGGACGTCGAACCCCGGTGTCCCGTCGGCGAGCTCCTTCTCCACTGTATTCTAAACAAGCCGGCACACATCAAGGGTACGCAACTCAACGCAACGCACATCACAAATCATCATCATCACCGCCGATCTGCTGACCTTCGCGCGGCCTGGCAGCCTACACCAAATCACAAAACCTGTCCCTGTGGCACTCCTCGCCCGATCAGCCGCACGGGCTGTGGCTCATGGCCGGCTGCCCTATGTCCTGCTACCTCGGCCTGGTACTGTTTCACGCGCGTTGCATCGTACACGCACAAACAACACGCACACGCACACACACACACACACACACACTGCAACTGCAATGGTTTCTGCTGACTCACTTTTGGGCTAGGCCGAAAAGTCGACGCTCAAGCTGTCGCTGCGGGTTCACAAGGAGCCCTGCACGTTCGAGCTGGTCGACGGCAACACGCTGGTCCACTGCGTCGACTACTCGCAGCCCCTCAAGGACATCCTCATGGCCTTCAGCCAGAAGAAGAACATGCACGTCCTCTTCAAATTCAACCAACGCAACCTGGCCACACTCTGCGTGTTCGCCAGAGCCACAAGTACGTGTGTGTCGTGTGTGTCGTGTGTGTGTGTGTCTGTGTGTGCGCGCGCGGTACGTAATCTAAGATCTGTGACAGAGCGAAGGATGGACCTGGCCAAGTCGTTGCGGGAGAACGGCTTCTTGGGAGGGGACGCGTCGCTGGTGCTCGTGAACAAGCTCGTGCGCGTGATGTCGTCCTCCGCCTCCATCGGCGGGATCCAGAGCCCCGCCGTCGGCCGTAAGGGAGAGCCCAAGCGATCAGCGGTACCACCGACGCCGCCACCCTCTCTCCCCCCTGCGAACATTCATCGACTCACCCTCGATCCCCAACTACTGGAGCGCAGGTTGAAATCGGCCGACGCGACGCGGTCCAAAAGCAGGGGCTGAAGGCTTCCGAGGAACTGCAGCAGTTCCTGGAGCTGGCGGAGAAGGAGGACCTGCAGCGCGACGACAACAATGCGGCGAGCGAGGTCGACGAGGGCTGGATCGCTGCGGCCGAGCGGGCCGGCCTGGGCACCAACATATGGAAGGAGCCCGCCGACTCGCCCGACAACCTCGTGCTCGACCCCAAGACGGGCAAGGTCTCCGCCGCCACGCTCAACAAGCTGGTGATGCGGATGACGGCCACCACCAGCTCCGAGGACTACGACCCCAAGTTCATGCAGGCCTTTCTCATCACCTACCAGTCCTTCACCACTCCCGTCGTGCTCCTCAACAAGCTGCTCGAACGGTACACCGCCCAATTCGTTCTTCTCATTTTCCCGCGTCCGTGCCTCATGTGTGTGTGTCGTGTGTGTCGTGTGTCGCGGTGTGTCGTGTGTGTCGTATGTGTCATGTGTCGTGTGTGTGTGTGTGTGTGGTTTCGAAAAAAAGGTATCATGTGCCGACGTCGACGTGCGAACCGGGGATGAGCGAGGCCGAGTGGCGGGAGAAGGTGGTGTTCCCGATCCAGTTCCGAGTGGTCAACATCCTCAACCAGTGGCTCGACACGTGCTTCGACGACTTCGACGCCTTCCTGGTGACCAAGCTCAACAAGTTCATCCAGCTCTCCCTGCCCGCCGATGGCCACTCCCCGCTGGCCAAGAAGCTCGCCAAGACCCTCATCAAGAAGGCACCTCACCCATCGCTTCCGCTTTCGCTTTCATTCTTCGTTCTTTCAAACGAACGACGAATAACACGAACTGACGGACTGGGTGTGACCCGTACTGTAGACGTCGGCCGATCCGAAGAAGCTGGAGCGAATATTCGCGCAGGCGCCGCCCACCCCGAAGGTTCCACGCAATCTGTACTCGCCCAACCTCAACTTCTTCGACATCGACGACGAGGAGATCGCCCGACAGATCACCCTCATCGAATACTCCATGTTTGCCCAGATCAAGGTTGGCCTCCACCCCTCTTTTTAAGCTCCTATCACCTCCGCCATGTTGTTTTTTAACTCCTATATCTATGGCTACGTGGCACCGACAGCACAAGGAGCTGCTGCAGCAGGCGTGGAACAATCCCAAGCTGCAGCACCTGTCGCCCAACGTGCTGGCGTTCGTGGGGCGCTTCAACGTGGTCTCCGGCTGGGTGTCGTCCATGATCGTCAAGGTCGAGCTGCTCCGGAACCGCGTCCGCATGATGACCAAGATCGTCAACATCGCCAAGGTGAGTCGCTGTCCCCCCCCCCGCCCCATTGATCGTTTGGGAACTGAACGTCATTGTTTGTATCTTTCGCTCTGTGCGCACAGTGCTTGTATGCGTTGAACAACTTCAGCAGCCTGATGGCGTTCATTGCCGGGTGGAACACGTCGTCGGTCATTCGGCTCAAGTGGACCATGAAGGACCTGCCCAAAAAGACCATCGAGGTGAGCGCCCCTCATTCGTTCTTTCCCTGTCGTCTTTCTTTCGCCTTTCTCTCTTTTTCTTAATTGCGACTGACCGCGAGACGGGTCGTGCATGACAGCTGCGAGACATGCTGGAGGGCGTCATGTCGTGCGACTTCTCGTGGCGCGCCTACCGGACGGCCATCCACGAGGCCAAGCCGCCCTGCCTGCCCTACATCGGCGTCTACCTCCAGGATCTCATCTTCATTGAGGAGGGCAACCCTGGTACGCTCGTTTTCTCAATTTCTTTTCTTTTCCTTGTTCAGGCATGGCCTGACCATGTCGCCACTGCATGTACTGCAGACAACCTGGGCGATCTGATCAACTTCTCGAAGCGGGAGCTGGTGGCGAGCGCCATCCGCGAGCTGCAGCAGTACCAGCAGCAGGCCTACAACCTGCTCGAGGTGCCCCGCATATCCGCCCTGTTCGTCAACCTGCCCACCAAGAGCGACGACGAGCTCTACAACCTGTCACTCAAGCGCGAGCCCCGCGGCGCCGATCGGTCCGCCATCGCCTAGGCTCTTCTTGTTTCAGTCAGTAACAGTGTGATGGACAAAAGTGAATGCTTCTCTGTAGCCACAGCTTAGGGCTGATAACCTATTGAAGAGGAAAGAGTGTAGTGGAGACTTTTAGAGATAAGAAGAGAGTGATTTCTTCATCCTTGGTTTTCTTCTATTTATCTGTTCTTCTTTGTGGTCCAGTTACTCTGGTATCTGAGGGATTCCTTGGTTGACCGTAATATGTATGTGGCGCTGTCGCTCTTTCTCGGTCAAAGACCACACGTTTTCGGTCAAAAGCGCTCCTGTTGGTGAGAACAAATTCCATGTTGCGTTTTATTGGCTGCTTTGGTTAATGTGGTAATGGGCTTAGACCAGGACGGAAACCCAGCTCTGAAGGGCGGCAGCCGAGCCGCAGGTGCTGTCGAACGAAAGGCGGAGGGAGAGGCCGTTGATGTTATTGCAGTTTCCGTTGGTGACGGAGGTGATCGGGGAACCGCTGCAGTCCGAGGTGGTGTAGATCTGGAGCTGCTTGGTCGTGCAGTTGGTGTGGGAGTAGTAGGTGTTGTCGTCCAAATACAGGTAATTGCACACATCGAGGGCGTTGCCCGCATGGGAGACTTGACTGCAGTCCAGGATCTCGCCCTCGCATGAGGTCGACGAGAACAGTAGGTAGCGGTACTCGCAGCTGTAGTCCGGACCGGACTGGGCCTGGCGACGGCGAGCATAGCGCAGAGGGCCAGGAGAAGAGCGATGGGTAGGTGGCGTGGAGACATGTTAGGTTGTTGGGAAGAATGTGTGGGAAGGTGTGAGAAGAAACAAGACCAAAGGCAGCACTTTTATGTGTTGACCCAACACGCCCATTGGTAGCTTGTTCAAACAGGGCAACCCACCACTCCTGCCCGCCAAGATAAATCCCGGTAATAGCCCTGATAAATTCCTGTTGTCCAGCTCGGTCTACCAATCACCGCGTTGCCGATCATCTTCGATCATGTTCGTCCCAAACTCCGAGGGCGACATGGTCATGCTGAGGAAAACTTGTTTTGGGAAAGGGGGAAAGGGAAATCACCAAAATTGCCCAAAATAAAAAACCGTTGGCTGCGGACCGTTGCGGCGGTTGGGGTTTTCGCGCCAAAAATCTGGTGGACAAAATGATGAGTTCCAACAGCTTCAATTGATAGAGCAAGGAAATAGTACAGATGATGAGCGACTACGTACCTGAAGCTGCTGACACACTCGCCGTGGCTCTGCCCCAGCCGACGTCGGTGGATGACACGACGGCCATGATCTCTGACGAGGCCCAGGTGCAACAGAAGCAGCACGAAGATGCCCCGGCCAATGAGAAGATGGATGAAGATGACAAGGAGAACGTGGTACCAACGTCCACCAACCTCGTGGCGTCGCCCAGTGGGCCGGGCACGCCCACCAAGCGCAAGCACAAGTCGGGCCGCATCGGCAAGCGCGAGCTGCTGCAGGTGGCCTCGCCCAAGGCCCGCTGGCTGCCGCGCGTTCAGGAGAAGCGCCGCGGTCGCTCCATCAATCGCTTCGAATTCGAGGAGAAGGAAGTCCAGCCCCTATGGGAGGTAAACGTTCTTGCATCGTCGTCATCATCATTACGCTCGAGCCTGCATGCTACAGTTTCATTTTCTTCTACATTTTGTAGATTCAATTAATCAACGTTTATTGTTGATATGCTGTAAATGAACAGGGCGAGGGACGCAAGCTGGAGGACAGCGAGCTGGTGGTGGACAACATCAAGTTCTTCTCCCGCAATGACACCTTCCTCAAGCAGGTCCACCAGATCTTCTACAACCGCGCCTGCAAGGCCAACGAGGTCAAGGCCAACCTCATCGCCTTCTCCGGCCTGCCCGATTATTACCAGGTGCGTGCCCTTCGTGTGTGCGGTGTGTGCGGTGTGTGTGTCGTGTCGTGTGCGACGCTGACGCATTGACTACTAGGGCAAGGCGCAGGAGAAGCTGGAGGCGAAGAGCGTGTCGTTCCTGAAGCTGCTGGCCGACGTGCTGGGCGTGGCCCACGGCGAAGACGGGAAGAAGAAGACCCTCGTGGCCGACCTGGTGGCCTTCCTGGCCGCGCCCCGCAAGGTGCGCCGCGGCGTCAACCTCGCCGACAAGGCCGAGGCCCTCAAGGAGCAGCGCCGCGTCGCCAAAGAAAAGAAAGAGAAGAAGGCCAAGCGGGTACGCACTCACACGACACACACGACACACACGACACTCACTCACTCACACGACACACACCGCACACGGTGACAATTGTCACACAACGGCAGACGAGCACGGGTGGCAAGGACAAGACGAAGAACAAGAAGAAGAAGGACGGGACGAAGAAGAAGCCGAAGGCGAAGGCGAGCGACTTCTATTCGGACATTGAGAGCGATGACGACGAGGACGACGAGGACATGGACGAGCTATACAAGTGGGACAAGAAGACCCAGGCCAGGAACGAGGCGGAGGCCAAGCAAACGCTGGACCGCATCGCCGAGCGCGAGGCGGCCGAGCTGCAGAAGAAGCTCGACAAGAAGAAGAACAAGAAGAACAAGCGAAAGGCCAGCGATGAAGATGAAGAGAGCGATGATGAGAGCGAAGACGAAAGCGAAGACGAGAAGGCGAAGGCCAAGAGGAAGAAGGAGAAGAAGCGGAAGGAGGCGGAGAAGAAGAGGAAGGCGGAGAAGGAAAAGGAGAAGAGGAGGAGGAGGAAGGCGGAAGAGGAGGAGGAAGAGAGGAAGAAGCGGAAGATCGTGAAGGCCAAGCGGAAGCACGAAGAGCGCGCTAAGGCCGCCAAGGAGAGCGATGACGAAGAGGAGGAGAAGAAGGCGCCCAAGTCAACCAAGCGAAGCCGCGCGGAGGTGTCCGATGATGACGGGGAGGAGAACGCCGTGGTAGTGACTGCTGATGCCGCTGACGAGGAGGCCGCCAAGGCTCAGGCCCAGCAGGAGGGCTCCAGCCGCAAGCGCCGCAAGATCGCCGTCGCCTCGGACGACGAAGACGGCGACGACAACGACGAAGCCGCCGCCGAGGTCGCAGCCGAACCTGCCGCCGACAGTGAGACTAACAAGATGCAGATCGAGGAGAAGAAGGTCGTCGAGGAGGAGGAGGAGGAGGTGAAGAAGGTGGAGGTGGAGAGCGAGGAGGAGAAGGAGCGGAGGGAGAAGACGGAGAAGACGCAGGAGGCGATCAAGGAGACGCTGCGGCGCTACTTGAAGGAGCAGCTCACGGTGGAGGAGGCCCGGCTGCAGACCCCCAAGCTGCTGCGGCTGCACGTCGAGGCCGCCCTGGGCCACAGCGTTGAGGAGCACTCGACCTTCATCCTCCAGTGCGTGCGTCAGCTCTTCTCCACCACCGCCTGAAGCTTCTCCGCCAGCACATAACACCTCCCGATGTACAAGAGCACTGTCATCAATTCCAAAAAGGCCATTAAGTTGGCCATTAGCGATGATTAACTAAGTTGTATGAGCCAGTTGGCCTACACTCACACGGACCAAGTCAACCAGGGCAAGAACACTGGCACCAGTGGTGTACCATGTGATCGCCCTCCCGCGTAGCTAAATTGGCCAGAGAGTCGCATTTCGACACAACGCGGAGGTTGGGAGTTCGTTCTTTTTGAGTGATCATTCAAAAAGAACGATTTTCATGCCCCAACTTTCATCTTTCGTTTGGCAAGAATTCAGGACTGTTCAACAAGGGTGAAGGGGAGGTGGAGGTGGGCGCGCGAGTGGTTGGTGACCTGATCCAGGCTGGCGCCGAAGACGAAGAAGGGCGCGTAGTCGCGCACCGACGCGATGGCGCCGCTCTGTCGCAGCTGGGCGCGCTCGCGGGCCTGCTTACGCTCCAGGAAGCGCCGGATCCGCGGGCCGTCCCACGTCGGCCCGTAGGGTATGTACGTCTCGTCATAGGCCGCCCCACCATCACCCGCCTCCTTGTCGGGCTCGCCAGCGTTCGTCTGCTTTTTCTCTGGCGCGGCCTTGAGGGTGTCGAGCGCGAACTGCAGGCCGACGATCTTGGCCAGCGCGACGCCGTCGGCCTGGACCAGCGGCACTCCAGGGTGAACATCGCGGCCTTTGGCCCTGTCCTGCAGTAGTTGCTGGGCATCGAACACGCGCAGCGCGAATCCCCTCCGGCAGTACTTCACCGCTCGGAACTGCCCCACACGAATTGCATCAGGCGAGTGTCGGGCGTGCGGATGCGATGGTTGTGTGTGCGTGTGTGTGTGGGTACCTCGCAGGAATAGGACAAGGTGCGTAAAGAGCTCAGCTCCATCAGGTTGGTTTTGGTGGTCAGGGCGCGCAGGCATCGCGGCATGGCCAATACCTGGCGGCCGTCCCAGCCGACCGCCACGCAGTCGAGGTCGAACGCGCCCAGCACGTGCGCCGGGCTGCGGTAGAGGCGCAGGATGATCTGCACCGTGCGCGACGGGTGACGGGTGCATATGCTCACCGCGTTCTTGGTCCGCACCACGCACACCTCGCTCTCGCTCTGCGCCCGCCGCACCTGCTCGTAGACCTCCCGCACCTGCATACCATCATGCCATCCCACCATTGAGTTTAGCTCCGAATTCCTGAGATTCCAAGGGTACTGTGGAGACCTTGGCGCGGGCCTGGTGGGGGTTGAGTCCCACGATCCACAGGTCGATGTCGCCCTGGCCCCACAGCGCGGGGTCCACATCGGCCTCGGGCAGTAGGCACGCCACCACGCTCCCTCCGGCTGGGTGGTGTGAGTCACAGCGCGAGGAATGCCTGGTATTTGGCGAGTGGGTGGTGGGCGTACCGAGGAAGAGGTTGTCCCAGTTAAGGTGGCGCAGCTGGCCGTTGGTGAAGGCGTCCAGCCGGCGCTTGAACTCCTCGAGCGACGGGACCACGGCCAACGAACCCGAACTGGTGGTCTCCGGCGGCGGCGGCGCGTGGCCTGGGATGACGGGCGAGTACTTGCGCGGGTCCCTCTCGTCGGCGTCGAGCGCGCGCCTCTGGAGCAGCTCCAAGTGGTCGTAGACCCGCATCAGCAGCTTCGACGTTGTCGAGGCGTCACCAGTCGCGCCGGCGAGCAGCGACAGGCCGTCGCGCCATATGCAGAGGTTGGTCACGTCGGCCGTCACCAGGTGGTCGCGCGACAGGAACGCAGGCTCTGCGCGCTGCAGGTCGAGCAGGCGCGCGTAGGGCAGGTACGACAGGGCAAGCCCCACGAGGCCAGTGGGCAGACGCTGCTGATTGATCAGATAGCGCAGGTACTCGATCCGCTCCGCCTCGCGCCTCTTGCGCATCAGCGCGCCCGCCGTCTCCTGCGCGAACTTGTCGTGCTCGACCGGGGCAGGCCCCACGCGAACGACGACCGCTCCCACTCAGCTGAGTCGTCGGCCGCCCTGTCCCGAGGCCCACCGCTGGTGGATTGCATGGACAACAGCGGCTCGCGGGCCGTGGTCCAGCCGGGGCAGGCGCTCGTGGGCGGTTGCGCAGCAGTCTCCTCCCGCCTATGCTGCTGCTGCTGCAGTCTTTGTCGGGCCTCTTCGCGCTGCGCTTGTTCTGTTTGCCGTTTCTTCTCCCCCTCTTGATCTCTGCGCCTGCGAAGGTCCAGTGAGCACAAGGTGTGCATACCGTGTCGTGTGTCGTGTGCGTTGCGTCTATGAGGTGCGGGTGTTGTGCGTGTCGTGTAAGCACCATTGGACCAGGGCGGCGGTTTGGGGGAAGGCGGAGGAGTTGACGTGCAGCTTGTAGGAGGCGTGCTTGGTGGAGAGCGTCGTGTGCCCGCGGAACCGGTTCACCCACGCCCCCGTCACAGCCAGCACGTCGCCATTCTGACATCGGCGCCCCCCGCGGCGAGTAAGCGCGCGATGCCTCATTCCGGTCGGTTGGCTAAGGAGAGGTACCTTGAAGAGGGTCGCGGCGTTCTTGGCGTCGTCGTACCAGAGGGTGAGCTCGACTATGGACCGGGTCTGGTCCTCCAGGAACACGCTACGCTTGGGGATGACGTTCCCGGTCGTTCTGGCCGTGATGCTACCCAATGGGCCCACCGCCTGCACAAACCCGATAACCGCTGCAGGAGACTCGTTTTTGTAAGTGTCCGCGGTGGGCGGTCGTGGGCGTGTGCGTGTGCGGTCGTGCGTGTGCGGGGGTGCCGGTACCAACGACCTCGTCGTGCTCGCGAGAGGCCAGCTGCGACAAGGGGAGGAAGTCGGGTTGTTGCGTGGGGAACGCGGCGATTCGCGTGGGATCGGTGATCGGGATAATCAGAGTGGTGGTTGCGAACGTGAGGTCGTAGTCGTGACTCAGCTTGGAGTACTTCTTGTTGGCCACCTTGAAGTGGCCCCCGGAAATCCTGTAAATCTGTTTCACGCCAATTTCTTTAGGTCGCCCAGCAACCACCATGTTACTGGTCTGATCTGGCATACCTGGTTCTCCTTGAGCCGAGGGAAGATATCGTCGGCTACGGCGTTGTACGCGACGGCGCGGATGCAGTCGCCGTTCTTGTCCATCAGATCGCAGCAGAAGTGGCGCCCCTCCTTCCCGTTCTTCTGCCACTTGAACAGTTCCGTCGGCTGCCGACCAACATCAGAATGTCGGTCATCATCAGTCAATTCCAGCAACGTCAACGCAAGTCAAAACTACCATGTGACCGTACCAGATAGACCACCCTGACCTCGATCGTCCACGCGACCGAGAAGGGGTTCAGGGCGCTCACCGGCGTGAGCCCGTCGCTAGCGGTCGTGCTGGCGGCGGCCTGGAATCGCCCGGTTGGGGCGACTGTGATCGCCGGCGCCGGTGAGATCTGCGAGCGCCCGGGCGTGGCGCCCGTCGATACGGAGGGAGCCGTACACGAAGACGGCACGTAGCGGGCCGGGGAGGCGAATTGGGCCGCCGAAGATGGAGGAAACCACTGACGCGACTTGACCTCCAGCGGCGGGGCGGCGGTGAATGCCGTTGCTCGTTGGCTCGACGCGGTGACCTTGGGGTCGTGGTGTAGTCTCTTGGTAAAGGTCATTTGAATTGGGGGTCTCACGGGTACGGGAGCCGGAGGGACAGGGTCATCGGGCAGTCTGCGCGCACACAAGAATCGGTTTAGATTAAGAGACCGCCATGAAGGTGATGTCAGCAGCAGAAGATGGCGCGTAACTGGAACTGGAGGACGTAGTCGATTCGCTGCTGGTCGGTTTCGTAGATGACGTACTCGCTGTCCACGAAGCCGGTCGGCGCGTACGGGGTCGACTTCACGCCATGGCAACTGACACATGAAATGAGTTGCGTGAGTTTCACTGGAAAACAATGACACACGCTCACCGCACACACCACACGCACGCAGCCCAGCGCACCTGTGGAAGTTGAGCGGAGGCTTGGTGAGGTCGGGGTTGGGCTGGTGGTAGTCCTTGATATTGCCGAGCGCCACGGTGGCGACGAGCATCATGCGGTAGCCCTTCTGGCCCACAGCCGAGTACTTGGCGCTGGTGGCCGCGGTCTCGCCAAAGTACATGCCCGCACCCAGCAGGCCCTCGTCCGTCCGCTTGACGCCCAGGGTGGTCACCCGCTTCGGCGGAAGCACGCCACGTGACAGGATCCCCAGCCAATTACCTGAGCAGCACAAATAGTAACAAGTCAAATGAATATGTGCGGGTATGTGACGAATGTGGTATGATGGATACCCATTCGGGAGCCGTGGAAGAGGTAGCGCGTGTTGAAGACAGTCTGGGTGAACCGCTCGTGCTCCTTCTCACGTCTCACCTTGAACACGTTGACGAGACGAATGCTGGAGCTGTCCAGATCTTGCCCTGGAATGACACATTCCAAACAAGAAGGTCACACCAGATACGTTGTAGCTTGTATGATGATGAGGGGTGAGCAGCTGTACTGATCATCTTCTTGACGCCCTTGAACTCGGGGGAACCGTGAGACACGTGGGATATTGCGCAGTTGAGCGCCTTGTACTTGATCTGCACTTCCAGGTCTTCCCCTGGATCCGCCCCACCATGCTCGCGGCCTGATCGCACATGGCTCATAACCTGCGCAACAAAAAAGTGGCGAAGAAGAAGAAGAGAGCGAAGAGTGGTGTGAGTTTGGGCGTACGCTCGCTATGACCGCATTCAGCGCAAAGCTGCCCCAAGGCCTGACGCTGTACCTTGAGCACGTCCTTCATGAGCTGGAGCAGCTCCTGCTTCTCCTCCAGCTTCTCGATCGTGTCGATGATCGCCGCGGCCATCTCGGCTTTTGAGCGCCCCAGCCGATGCGGAATCAGAGTGTAGAACTGGAGAGACGATTCAGGAGAGATGACGTCAGCAAACACATCACATCCCTGGGTTACGGAATGCAATGAATGCAGGCGCATGCGGAAAGAGATCATACCTCGCCCGAGAGCTTGGCGACTGACCCCTGGTCCACGAAACCGCCGGTCGAGGTGAGGTGGTCCTGGATGCGGCCCAGGATGGCCTCGCCCTCGGCGATCTGCTCCAGGTCGAGGATGCCGAGCGGCGTCTCGAGCCCGCGCGCTGTGATTTTCGCCGAGACCTTGCTCGTCAGCTGGTTCGTCGCCTCTTCGTAGATGTCCCTCACCAGCTGCCTCACCTGGTCAGTGAACTGGGCGGCGGTTGCCACGTCAGCTGCGAGCTCTTCGCCGTCGGCTGTCGATTGGCCGGTTAGTGCATTCATTCCACCAATCACAACCATGGCAAAACGAAGTGGTGGCGCACCATTGGCCCGGGCGACCTTGGCCTGGCTGGGGTGCTGGTCCACGGCCCGGCCCTTCTCTGAGCCGACAGTGGCGGCGGCCAGCTTGATGGACTTGTAGCCCTTGGCCTCGGCGTCCGACTTGTCCTCCAAGATCAGGTCGTAGATCCACTATGGAGTGACGAAAGGAATTCAAGTTATTCTCCTGCGCCCCACAGTTCACTGGCAAAGTGGGGAGCCGATGGTGTGGCAGCGTACGTTGGCTTGCTGGAGGCTGTGGAGGTATCGACATTCCTTGCGCTCGACGAACAGGTCCGATGACTCTTCGGCCACGCCGCCGGTGGAATCCAGACCAGATTGTGAGTCGGCATCGAGCAGGTCGGTGCGTCCGTAGTGGGTGTAGATGCGGAAGTAGCTCTTGCCCCTCTCCTTGCCCTCGTGCAGCTCCATGCTGTAGAACTTGTTCCGATTCTCGTTCAGCTCAGTCACCTGCACTCGATACCACGACGACACAGTGAGCCCAACGACGCGGAAGAGAATGACGAGGATGACGTGTACGTTCAGTACGTCCCTGCGGACGATGTCATAGTCCTTTGGGAAGTGCGGGGCGTGCGGGTCATCCGCCTTGTAGATCTTGACGAGGCCCCAGTGGGGTCGCCAGTTGTCCTTCTTGGCCGGCTTCGGCAGAACGTCGTCGGTCGAGTCCACAGGCACGGGCGCTGGGGTGACCAAAGGCGATGCCGACGCGGCACCGAAGGCCGCAAGCTGCACCCCTGTCGATGCCTGCTGGGCCGGTGCGGACAGCGACAGTTGCGAAGGCGGCGCCGCAAACTGGAACGCGGGTGTTGAGAGGCGTGACACCACGACCGCCTTCCTCTTTGCCCGAATGATCGGCCGCGAGGGGTTGGCGGAAGGCCAGTCCAGCACCTGCGCCGCTGCGACTGGGCCAGGCCCATTCTGCTCTTGCTCCGCCACACCAAAGGCCGGCAGCTCTTTGGTCCTGTGGGAAAGCTCGCTTCTCGCCAGAGACGAGGTGTAGCCCTCTGCCACAGTACCGGTGGACTGGGGGCTGGCCTGGGCAAGGGTATAGGCGGCTTCGGCCAAACGCTCTCCTGCGCGGATGGAGTCGTGAATGAAGTCGGCCGACACGACGTGCACCCGGTCGTAGGCCATGGCCCGCGCCACCTTGTAGGAGGCCGCGTCCACCTCGGCTTGAGTGGTCACCATGTGCGTGATCTGCGCCGAGACGATGTGCGCCACTTCGCCGCCCTGTTGGCGAATCTTGGCGTGGAGGTCGCGCATCTCGGCGATGAGGCCGCACACGACGAACACCAGGCCCTCGAAGAGATTCCTCGCTTCGCTCGCCCCGGGGGGCACTTCGACCTGCGTGCCGCTGTCGCCGACCTCATCGTCGTCCGCGCTGTCAACGTCATCAACACCCAGAGCCGCTTCTTCCACCGAAAGAGCGCCAACGTTGTATCGGGGCTCGACGTCGGCCAGAGCCCAGCGAATGGATTCATGGCCCGCCTTTATCAGCAGTTCGTTGGCCTTCGAGAAGTGCTTGCAGCCGAAGAAGCCTGAGGCGCACCACCGCACATCGCCGCACACCGCAGGTCAGTCGTGTGGCTGTTGGCAGATAAAGCGCAGGTCCTAGGGTGGAGGAGCAAGCAGGCACCTTTGTCGGCGGAGAAGGGCGAGGGGTGGGCCGCGGTGAGGATGGAGTGGCGGGAGCGGTCGATGAGCCGGCTCTTGGACTGGGCGCTCTTGCCCCACAGCAGGAACACCACCCCGTCCCGCTCTCTGCTCACTGCCTCGAGCACCCGATTCGTGAACATCTCCCAGCCCTTGCCCGAGTGCGACAGCGGCGTGCCCCTCCTGCAACCCACACAGCCATGGGTCACGTC